CGGACTAAGGGTGTTCTCAAGCACCCATTCAATGGATCGGAGGTAAAATTTTAAACGTTACCATTTCGATGAAAAACCAGCGAGTTAGAAACTATCTTTTTTTTCTTTAAAATCTTACCATTGACAAAAGTCGCTCAAGAATTACTTTTACATTTTTTACATATCAAGTATAATATACAATGAATTCTCGGTAAATTTCTACCCGATCCAAAAAAAATCACTATTTTATTTTAATGCTAGAGACTTTTAAAACAAACTACCACTATTACTTAGAAATACATTTGTATATCGTAATAACAGGGACATATATTTTCACCCGGGTGGCTCATGAGTCCACCCGACGGGTTGCTTTTTTAACCCACCCGGGTGGATCATGGGTCCACCCGCGAGTGACCCCATGGATGGATGATGAATGACCTGGTCATTTGCTCAAAATTTAAATGACTTAGTCATTTATGACCCAGGTCATTTGGTCATTGGTCATTTGGGTCATTTACATATGAAGTAATTTTATTTGTCAGATAACTAATATAAAAGTTATCAAATACTATGACTATAATAGTAACTACATATAAAAGTCAAAACTTTACTAAGTTTATCGATATTCACATCTTAAGTAAAGTTGGTTAGAAGAACGAATTACATATATTGTATCTTGAAATTTTTATATAATTCGGATAACTTTTTATTATATTAATCCTCAGAACAACTTTACTTAAGACATAAATATCAATTAACGTAGTAAAGGTTTGACTTCTACAATTATTATAAAAGCTACTTTTTGTCTAATAATCAATTTTGATTGGCTAAAAGGCATTAGATTATCAGTTAACAAATGCTAAATGACCTTCTATGGGTCATTTGAATGTGAAATGACCCAGGTCATTTACCATCCCTAGGTGACCCAGGTGGAGTTTTTTTGACGGGTCCAATCACTACTCCTGATTATGCCATTTTCCTATTTAGCAGCCGGCCTGTTTCAAGCAGGCAGGAAACCACCGGCTGATGCTGCTTCTCGCTCACTCTACTATTACGATGATACCTGGCGCAATCTCATTTGCTAATTTTCTGGGAGCATATCATCGTTTCAGCTCGATTTACTTGACTAAAATTACTCATAATGTATTCTGCGAACTTCACTTCCTTTAATTGAATTTATTTCTGGCACCTTCGGCTAACCGCCATTCATCCAACTACATGACCAGTCGTACTGATGCTTTTCATTCTATTACAACTTATGTTTATTTGGAATCTACCTAGGTGGATTCTAAAATAATTCCATTACAACGTACGACATATGTGTTTTTTTTTTTTTTCGATTCGAAAAAAAATTGAAAGAATTAATTTCATCAGTCGAAATATCAATATCACACCAACATCACAACCTGCATGTGTCTAGATAATTTTTTAGTGGGTGAGCTGCGTACGTACATACGTACGTAGATTATTTTTTGTGGGCAAACTATACTATATGAGTGTTTGAGAATGAAAACCAGGAAATAAAATTTAACCAATCATAAATTTTATTTCCTGATTTTCACTCACATAAAGGCAATCAGTATGGTGCGGTTTGATAAAATCACATCCACCCATGAAATTGACAGGGCGTAGGAAAATGCGATTTTTGCAAAGCGAACGTTTGTTTTTTGAATTTCTTTACGTTACACCTGATTCTGATTTTTGATTGGTTAATTGGCGTCGGAAAATCGATCCTACGCCCTGGCGTTGTCTCCGAAAATCAGCAGATTCTAGGACGTACGTATGTACTGTATGTTATCGATCATATGTTAATCCAGCAATCTGATTCGCAGGCATATCACATAGTGCAGTAGTTCTATTTTCTGTGCCGATTAGTATGCAGTAGATCTCAAGGTATTGGGATAAACCGTGTCGTAACTAAGTTAACCCATTATAATAGTTTATTTAAGTCACGGCATGTGTAAATATTATTGATCAATTTATAATATTATATATGTTCTATATAATTGTATAACGAATGAAAAGCCGAATCGATACAGAGAGATCCGACTGTATAAAATTCATTGCGAACAACTACTGTAAATGCGCAACGATTCAAAATTTTTAAGTATAAAAAATATAATCTGGAAATCACTGCCGATGAAAGAAAAAATTTTTCACTAGAATGGTCATATTTCTTCGCTGAAAGCTAATGTTAAATCCCAAGATCTTTCAGTTCTGGTGAAACACTGGATTTATATTTTGTAAAATTACAATTTATATACATAAATAGAATTTTGATTCTGTAACTTGAATGAATTTCAAAAATATACATATATACAGTAAATTTATTATTTTCCCATAACATAAAAAATCAAAACAAAAAGATTTTGTATCCTAAAACATTCCATTATTACAAACATTTAAATCGTAAGATTCACACAACTTACACCATTCATTAGGCGGAATCGATTGTTTAAGATTTGACGGTAACTCAACGATCTGACCCATCATTCCTGTATTTAAGTGCCACTATTTAATTAATAATCGACAAACAAAAAAATCAAAAATGTTACGCAAAAAAGAAAAAAATAAATAAATAAATAAGAATACATATTACACATTTTCATATAATTATTTGTTACCATTATTGGATTTCCAAAGGCCCAAATTCCTGGATGATTAATTCTGGTTCTAATCAATGTCCACCTACATATGTAGGTTTGTAAACAAAACTTTTAATGTAAATTCATATAAATTTGTAACCTTTAATTTTCAAATTACTGTATAAAATTTTACCCTAAAGCTGGTATGGTCACTGTATCTCGTTTTATAAGGTTAGCAGTAGTATATGATAATCCTTTACTGCTGTTATAGGGAGTGGATTCATTTCCTCTATCGAGAACCCAAAAACTATGACCATGCTAATAATAACAACATTGTTTGATTAATAATAAGTGCGATTGCTTTTTTAATATATATATATATATGTTTATTTATTTATTTAATATTTACCAGATGGAATACTAGTTCAATCGTATGATTGCCTACAAAAATAGATAAACGTTAAAAATAAATAAAACGTTAAAGGTAATATATAAAAATAATAAATAAAACAGAAATACTCAACTTTTTAAAAAAAAGTCAAGAACGCCATACTTTTTAAATACATAAGCATTCCAATAATGATCAAATTTTTTTATACTTTCTTTTAAAACTTCTTTAATAGTTGAAGTAGTTTTATTTGGTTGATAAACATAAGATCCTCTAATTTTTGAACAAATTGAAGAATATATAGCACCATCAATTAACCCATCTTGATTAAATACATTAATGTTTTGATTAGTCGTATTATTTGTAACATTATTTGTAACATTATTTGTAACGTTATTTGTAACATTATAGAATCGAGATATAATCATTGTCATTTCATATAAAAGAGTATTTGTTGGAATATTTTCTTCAATTAAAGGTTCCAACTCAAAAGAATCCATGTCCTCCAATTTAAAACTTTTCATTTTATCATAATAATTGTTCTCATAATAACTCCAAGAAGAAGTAGCAGGATAATCAAAATCATCATTATTGTATCTTAAAATAGCTATTACATCACCAAGTTTTTTGGTTTCTAAGGAGGATGATTGAAATGAATTTTTGTTAACTTCACCCCTAATCATGAAACTTGATGTGTTCATAAATTTAGGTAATCTATTTGGAATTACTGAGTATCTTTGAGCCACATGAATTGGAATACGATGATAAGGTTTTGAGAGTTTTGTTAATGTTCCTTCAACTTCTACTATTTGAAGAGTATGACCATCGATTGAAAAGAAAAATGATGTCATCGCACTACATTTTAAGGCGAAAAAAAGCGAGTAAATGCTATATACTCATTAGAAATAAAAAAAATTAATGATTTGATTTACCTAGTATTTATGATTCGAAGTCGATATTTTTTGTTGGGTTCAAAATAAAAATATTCGATAGATCCAAGATATGAATCACAGTTTTCTCTCTTAGGATCATTGAATTTATATTTTTCGCAATTAAATACACCTTTTCCATTTATTATCGTATTTTTTGGAATAGGCTATTATTATTCAAAAATTCATTAATTTATAATTATAAAATCTCATTACATTAACAATTTCAATTACCTCGATAATGGAAGAATTGTCACCACCAAATTGATAAAAATTCAACAGTTCTGAACCTTCATCATGATACCAATCAGATAAAAGGATTATATTCTCTTTTTGATAATCGAATAATGTTTGATCGTTCTGATCTTCAACAACGAGTGCACCATATAAACCATCAATTCGTTGCGTTTCGAAAGATGAATAACTAAAATTATATAAATACGTTAATTAAAAAAGTATATTCATTGCATTAGGAATATAAATATTCAATATACTTACTACCAGTAAGTTCCACTCTTAAGAGCATCAAATGAATAAACAAAGCTAGAACCGTTTTTAATCGGACACTGAGTAACATAAGGAACTCCATCCATGAACGGATTAATATGTTGATCAATTCCATGCACATGTAAACTTGTTGAGACACCTAATAAATTCGTAATATTTATTCTTACTTTATCGCCTTTATTTACTATAATAGTTGGGCCTGGAAATTTATTATTTATTGTAAGAACAGATCTTATGTATCCATCTGGTGATCCCGTTTCATTTCGAAGAATAAGATTGAATAATTTTGGATTTTGTGTAGGAATCTGAAGTTGATTGGTTGGTATCAATAGTACAGATGATACAGATGATATTGAAGTTATAGATGTAGATGGTATCGATGTTACAGATGGTGTAAATGATTCGATTTCAGGAGTAGTATTATATGAAGAATTATTGGTATCCAAAGAAGAACTTATGTCTTGATTTATATTAATATTTTGCGATTTAGATCCTGAAAAATAATGATAGGGCCATGGAATCCAAAGCGAATTATTTGAATTTGTCAGTACAAATAATAATAAAATGCTTGTTAAAGATAATAGAACTGTAAATCCTAAGCAAACTATTCTGTATTTTGTAATTGTGTAAAACAATGATGGCATTTTTTTTTATGTATTTAATTTTAATTTGAGCAAAATGTTGGAAAAGCATTATTTAATAATGATAAAGCGTAAGCATATAAATGATTAAAATGTTTCCGTGTGGCTGAGCAAAAAATTTACTTCGCCATGATTAATACAAGATTTATTTTGAAAATCAAAATGCCAAACTTGGCTAATTTTAGCATTAATTTTGCATTAAACTTAATGTAATTTGAGTTAGTCATAGTTTCACGCAGCTTTAAAAAAATTACTTTTTTAAGAAATTAAAGAGAACTGTACAAATTTTGCAAAAACTGATCAAACTGACAACCAGTAATATCTGATAAAAAATATTAATTAAAACCTTATCGTTATATGTATCTTATTGTATCTAATAAAAAAGGAAATTCTATTTTTAATTTTTTTTAGTTCTTGTGAGCCTTTTAAAAAGACGCATCAAAATTTTTTTGTAAATAAATATTTACAGTAATTAAAAAATATTTTTTTAATTTGTTTAAAATGATTACATTAAATTTGTTTAAGTTCTTGTCGAATTATTTTTGTTTACTAACCCACCCCGCTTATTAATCTTTTCGTTAGTCATAAATTATATCACATGATTTCAAAAACTGAAAAACAGATACAAAGCCCTGTATATCGGTTTTGGGATGCAATAAAATTCAATAAAATTGTCCGAAGTGAACCAAGGACATTTCTACGGCGTTTGTGATACATAATATAAATTGTTCAACAAAATATCTTAGTCTTGGCTCTAATAAACTTAATATCGTACAACAGAGGGGTTGCATCGGCAAAAGGAAAATGCATACATATTTTGCATCTACTGTACTTAGAATAAGACATGTGAGTTAATAACCTAAGATAGATCCTTCTGATAACTTAGTTATATTATATAAACCAGCTTTTACTTTCTTACTAAGTTTTAACTCCAATAACCCTAAAATAATGTTATCATAATAACAACAACGATAATAATAATAATAATGATGATGATGATAACACCAATAATAATAATAATAATAATAATAATAATAAATACAAATTACTGTATTAAGACATTCCTGTCACGGTTAAAATTGCCAGATAACAAGACAACCAATCAAATTTAAGAATTCACGGCGCCATTATCATCCTTCGGACAATAATCTTATGTGTAATACCTTTTATATGGTTTGTTAAATATGAATCTAGTACACGATATAAATATATATAGATCAGAAAAAAATACATAGTGGTACATTCAAAATTACAGTTTAGTTCTACAAACATGCATTTAATTACAAATAATTAATATTGCCTTATGCCGTGTAACGACCATTGGAAAATGTTTACGTATGGAAAAATTAGATATTTACTTCTTTATAAAACTTCGTCATCTCGATCTTTTTTCCCTCCTTGTTATCAAAAGGATGAATATTTTGACATCATAATTCCTTTTTTATCCATCTTTTCCCCTCTTTCCTTCTTTCTTTTAATACGATTTTTTTCATCCTTATTTTTATCCATACTTTCATTCTTATCTATCCTTTATTTAAAATGAAGTTAATTTATATTTTTTATATTTATTTATTTTTATTACCCTTTTCATGCTGGTCGGCTCCTATAAGTCCACCCACGCCACCAGCTAATTATACAACTCCTACGTTAACAAATAATACAACTTTAAACACCCCGCAAACATTTCAAGTACAAGTGAATTTTAAGCAAGCTAATTCTGAACAGTGCCAAATTTTGGCACTGACTAAATTTGTTTCTGAAGTTAGTAAATTTGGAATTGACGCAACTAGTCAAATTGTTGGTGGTTTACTTAGTGCAGCTGATAGTGTAGTTAATAGTACAGTTGGTACAGTTGGTAGTACAGTTGGTAGTGTAGTTAAGGGACTTGGTTTAAAAGAGAGAGCCACAAACCAATATGTGGGCGCTGCTAATTACGCAAATGACATGGAAGTATGTTGTTATCTTACTTCTGTCAAAGATTTGCTATTAATTATTGAAAATTACTACATATCACCACTGGTGATCATCACCGGTCCTAAGATTAGTTAGGGTTAGGGTTAGAAATTAGAGA